AGCCGCGCCCCGCCTGACCCCCTCAGCCCCCCCCGTCGCCGGTTTCCAGCGCAGAAACGTCCCGGGGTCCGGTCCCGCGGAGCCAAGGGGAAAGGCCAACCCCGCCCGGGCCGCGGGCTTCGCGGCAGCCGTTTTACCACTTCCCTCCCACCCTCCGTCTGCTAACGAGCTAATGCCCGGTCATTTCCAAGGTCGTACCTCCTCCCACTTCTGTTGCGAGTTGGGCAGAGTGTTTTTTGGTTTTTTTTTTTCCCCACTTTTCTCTGATCCTACAGCAAACGTGGACACTTACCTCAAAGCTCCGGTATGACTACTGCAAGAATACTGCACAGGAGGAGGGATATATAAATTGAGACGGAAGTGTGCGGTTTATGAAGTCAGTATTGTAATTGTTTATTTCAAGCAGTTTTCTGGAAGGACATAATGAATAGTTTATATTTCAAGTTTACATGCATGACCTCACTTATAAACACTAGCATGCCACTTTCTGCTGGCAACTAGACCCCTATTTCAAGACAGCACGGAACCTCCTTTCAGCTGCCTGCATAGGGAGTGTTCAGTGTTCTTAGATTTACATTCTTAAACATTTCACAGTTTGTTATGTAGTAAGGAGGACAAAACGCTAATTTCAAGATTGCTCACACTTAACATGCCCACCACTGACTCTAGGAATGTTTTTGATGCTCTATGATCTTTCTGCTCTCAAAAACACGTTGAAGAACAGTCACCCCCACAGGGAGATTTTTGAGAACTGTGGCTCAAGAACTCTAAGTTTATCGTTAAGACTTGGCCCTGTACTTACTTTCACAGCAACAAGTTTCAGCCACAGGGGCTCATCTTTCCAGTAGTAATTCCCAACAAATCAAGGCATTTCCTGCCTGGAGAAAAAGAACTCTTGCTTGGTATTACTGCTCCCCTCACTGTTCTGGGTCTGGAAATCCCCTCGTAACTTCAGTTGACAGGCATTCTTCACACCTTGTTGTAACTTGTCTGTAACATTCCCCTTAGAGGCAAGTCTGCTTTAGTGCAAGGTAAATCAGTTTTCACATATGCAGGGCTGAGCCTCTTGAGTCAGAACTCACAAAAAAGCACCTGCACTACCTGGGAACACTAAGATTTCACTAAGCAAATCAAAACAGCATTTCCTTATATGTGACGACCTACCAAGCCCTTTATCCTGCCTCTTCTCCTATTCCTCCTCCACCCCACTGAAGTGTTGGGCATTGCAACACTGCAGAGAGCAGTGCAGTTTGCAGCACCCTAAGCTAGCTCGAACCCATGATCCAGCTCTTCCTAACAGCAAAAACACCTCCCTCCTGCCTTCTGTGAATGAGCTGTTTAATTCCTGGTCAGATCTGAGGGCACAGTCACACATCCTGCTTCATGGAGCAGTTCCCTTAGGCTTTTAAGATATCTTCCTCACAACAAAAATCCGTGGGTTGGTTTTGGTTTTTGTTATTTTATCTGAAAGGAACAGATTATCTACCTTCCTCCCGAAGAGCAGGCACAGAAGTGTCACTGGTGCTAGAGGGTCTCACAACAGGACAGTGGAGATGCTGAGTTTAACACTACGTAACAGGATAAACAGAATGTGAATTTGAGTACTATGTTGAGTACTGCAGACAAACAAAAAAACCAACAAAAAGCCCCCACAAAACCCCACCCACGACAAAATATGCCACAGAAAGAAGCAGAATATCAAGTAATAGCTTTCTTCTGAGATGGGGATAAACAGACATTAGAATCACTCAGAAGTTTGTAGTTCATTAGGATTTAGAAGTATTTGTAATGTGTTAAACCATTATAACTTAGTTTCTCCTCAAAGCCAGTCACTTTCACGTATAAATAAATCAGTGTTTTCTGGACTAGTTTTACAACACAGAGGATGATGAATAAGGTAGAAATAATGAACAGAACACATAAGCTCTACGCATACAGACTTCTTTTCAGCAACAGTTTTTCCTTTTGCAAATATATGGGTAAATACTGTATCAATTACTGTGGGAATTTTCTATGGCAATGAATGAGAAACACAGAAAAATAATCGGATACTGTGGCTACTGTACAACTATGTGGATGAGAACACTGAACGACCAAAGGACAGTAAATTCTCTTAATTCTGTGCAAATTCCAATAAAAACTCACAAAAAGTTGTGTTTTCTTGAGTTTAACTGGAGCTTTATTACTTAAGCTGTGACTTCACAGTCTTCACCTTCAGCAATTTGCAAAGAGGAGGCATACAGGAAAGGTTACAACACTTAATGGAAGGGACTCCGTACTGAACAGGGGGGAACAGGGCAATCCCAAGGCAGAAGAACTGGGAGCGCCAATTTGTTCTCAAGTCTCATGTGAGGACTCCTGGAAAAGGCCGATTACTTTCAAGAAATCAAGGAAATAAATTTAGGAAGCAGAACCTGGGATTAAAAGTGAGCTGGAACCAGAGAGAGACAAACACCAATGGCAAAATGCAAATAAACCACTCAGAGTAAATCCAGACAGAACCCAAACAGTAACAGAGGCCAAATGAATAAATAGTCCCTAGGATTAAACCAGATTTATGCTGCCACTCAGCTTCAACAGACATGTAAAGCTGTAACTGACTGTGGCGTGGTGGCTTTAGCCTCTGCTCCCCTGAAGCCACTTGTCCAACCAGGTAGAAAAATAAAGGTCTAATTCACTGGAAATTCTTTCATTTACAAAACTAATGGAATAGGGTTTGTTTTTATGCTTCTGTGTCAACTTCCGATTTATCGTCAACTCCATTCTGCTCCTCTTTCATTTCCGCATCTTCAGTGTGGCTGGTTTGAAGAGTAGCAGCTGACTAAACAGAGACACAAATAAAATAACATTCCTTTGTTACACAAAGTTGTTAGCATTTGCAAACAATAACACAAACATTACTTGATTCTTACCACTAGAATACCTGGTCTCCCTGCAAGACTGAATTCAGATATTAGGACCTTCAGCCAAAAGAAACCAAAAATTTATTTGCATTTTTTCGGCATCTAAGAAACTAGAAGCAGTTTAGAGGAGGCTGAAAAATGAAACACTACTGGTGTTAATGGTTCAAATTCATAATGTGGCACGCACACGCTTGCCACAATACACTTCCTTAACATGTTCTCCCACAAACTGAAATTCATTTAGGAGGCTCCTGCACAGAACTGCTTTTATCCTGCTTCAGTTTCAAAGATTTATTTCAGCAATTCTCATACCATGCCTCCACCCCAAATCTTGGACTGAAGATACCAAGTATCTTTGTTGGGTGACTAGTTCCACTAAGAGTAACTTCAACTCGAGAACAGTCACTGGGATGTCCTCTGTAAGAGCTTAGCTGGAGGAGAATCTAATCTGACAAGGCAGCTGCTCTAAAGGGTCTCTCCTCACTGTATCTTCTAGTCCACATGAAAAGTGGCGGAAAGCAGAGTGCCATTGGTAAGAGTCCGAGGCCGGTTTTTACAATAGGACATAACCAGCATATCCAGACCTTGCAATAGCTTTCAAACACAGTAAAGGGAGATAGAAATATCTTCTTCTGCTCATCTCAAAAGACAGTCCAATGAAGTTGCTATTCCACCTGTCAGCCTAGCACCCTGACCCATCTGTTTTATTGTGAGGTTAGATGAGAACCAAACAAAAACAAGGATATAAGCATGCACTGTTATGGGCACGGAACAGGAGGGCAAGAAGGGGTAGACTCCTTGAACTACAATGTTACATCAACTTAGCTGCCACAAAAAACCACAGCCAAAGAACATGCAGGCATCAAAGGTCAACCTTTCATCCTCAGAAGCATTCTGTGAAACACATGAGAGCAAAGTCTCCTCTCCACAGAAAAATCTGTTAGCTATCAATCCTGGGCTTAAGATAAAGTGATAAACATCCTGACCTTTAAGAAAAAAAAGAAGAAAAAAACACCCCCATACTTCACATATGTGAACTATTCGAATTCATGAAAAGAACTACCGATACAAGTATGGCCGTTGAACTTCAGTGGATTGGATTTTAAGACATGCAGATGTCAGGAATTTCAGAACTATAGTCCAAGCTGGCTTTTTAGCAATCAGAAGTCATTTGGTAAACAAGCCCTATACTCCAAAACTCTTGAACTACTCCCACCACCATTAATAGAGAAACTGTTGGAGCTACAATAAAGCAACATGATAAATGAATTAACAGGAAAACATGTTTTCTTGCAAGAAGAACCCCTGAGACTGACCTGGGGAGTAAGCATCCTTTGTTTACAGTTCCCTGTTCCACCGATCTTTTTTCATACAAAAACCACATCAATTTCAAGTAGGCCAGATGGACCCAAGAAAAACAATGTAAACACATGCATATTCCCAAGATCATCTAACTATCGAGAAGAATGACCCAGACCAATGGCATCCTAGTCTGTATCAGAAATAGTGTGGCCAGCTGGACTAGGGCAGTGATTGTCCCCCTGTACTCAGCACTGGTGAGGCCACCTCAAATACTGTGTTCAGTTTTTGGCCCCTCACTGCAACAGATGTGGAGGTCCTGGAGTGTGTCCAAAGAAGAGCAACGAAGCTGGTGAAGGGTCTAGAGCACAGGTCTTATGAGGAGCAATTGAGGGAACTGGAGTTGTTTAGCTTGGAGAAAAGGAGGCTCATGGGAGACCTCATTGCTCTCTACAGCTACCTGAAAGGAGGTTGTAGCAAGGTGGGTGTTGGTCTCTTCTCCTACGTAAGAAGCGATAGAAGAAGAGGAGACAGCCTCAAGTTGCACCAAGGGAAATTTACACTGGATATTAGGAAAAAAATCTCTTCACCAAAATGGTTGTCAAGCACTGGAACAGGCTGCCTAGGGAAGTGGTTGAGCCACCATCCCTGGGAGCACTTAAAAGACGTGTAGATGTAGTGCTTAGGAACAAGGTTTAGTGGTGGACTTTGCAGTGCTAGGTTAACAGTTGGACTCCACAGTTTTAAAGGCCTTTCCAACCTAAATGATGCTATGACTCTATAAGCTGATTCTGTCTCAAGTAGATTGGAAAACTGGAACTATGTGCCATGTCTTCGCAGTGTCCCAGTCTGCAATGCAAGCATTGTGAGTCTGCCTCTTGCCAAGAATACAGCTCTACCACCCGTCTTAGGGGCTGAGGTGTACGTTTTGAAAAGCATGAAAGCAGCCATTTTGTATTTTTAATGGGTATAGTTTGTTTCAGCAATCCACTCTTCCTCTCTCAACAGCAGATCTTGCTGTGTCCCACACCTAGGGGAGGAAGCCAGATTCCTAGCAGCTGTGCTAGCTGAAAGGCACCTGCAGTCTCAAAAGTGAAGATGCCCAACAGTGAAATCATTCTAGCTTAGTTGCTGTATCTTCATCTTCCTGAGATTTTTCATTAAAGCCTACAAAAAAATTCATGTGCTGCATGGCTATATGTGACAATGTCAGAGGACAGAATACCATCTTCCAGGCTCCAATAACGCAAGGACTGTTGACATCAGGCTGCTTTAATTAAAGATACATAAATACATGGACAATGACATCTTCCTTGCAGAATCACTGGGGCGTGCCTGTGTTTATGTGTGCGTTTACACTCCCTCTGTGAGAAGCAGAACCAAATTCCACAGAACTACTGCTACTCTTTGAAGAGAAAAAACAAACAACACACACACAACTGTAAAGCTACAAACAGCAGCTTCCCCACCCAACCATCCAGTTTGGGGCAATTATTCTATGCTTACTGTATGACTGCTTTAACAGAATTAAGAGATGAAGAGTTGAATACATCTCCCACTGTCTCTGGAAGATAAATTATTTCAGATATATCTGAAATTTTGAAAGATAGGGGTAGGGGGAGAGGTTTGCGAAGTGCTTCATGTACCAAATTGTCAGCTGACAGCTGAGATGTCTGAATTGTCAGGACACACTCATCTGAGGACAGTGGGCCCCTGGACAGACTCACTGACTGTCGACCATAGGAAGCTGACATACCAGTATCTGACAATTTTTTAAGATTTCTCTTTGCATATTCTGCAGAGGTGGATACAAAGATCAGTGAAAATAACCCCACAAGATGCAAGCTTCTGCACTGCCCAAAGTTACTGAGAAAAATCTGAATTTGATATATATCTCAGATTTATCTTGGAAGTTACAGGTTTACATATTCCTTCTAGTCCATCAGTTTTAAGTAAAAGAGAACCTTTTCTTAGGATATGTGATTCTCACCAGCAGTTTCTTGCTAGCTCATACAACCTTGTTATAACCCATTTTCAAATATTGCAGTTGTTAACTGAACTGGTGTTTACTAAAATTCTAGTGAAAGCTTAGTAGGAAAACCACCCATACAGTAAAGTAATGAATCTTCTGACAGTCTGAATTCTGGCACTTCATAATCAATCTGTGACCTTTGAGATGGAGAACATCAACCACATATTAATGTCTCCAAGAGAAACAAGATGGTGCTCAGCACCATCTGTACAACATGTAAGGTCTCAGTAGCTGGGCCATCCAAGCACCAGAACGGACCCTTTAAAATGATCAGTTCAAGAATAGGCACTTTATTCAGTTCTTGAACGTTATAAAATTTGCATCTCATGACTTCAGTTGCCTTCTGTTTAACACTCGTCTGTTGCAAAATCGGTTGAAGTAAGTAAAAGCATTCTGTGCAATGCTTGGTACTGCTAGTTGTCTTGCTCAAACAAGATGGACTAATCATTTTGACTGTTGGCTATTTCCATTTCCCCTCAGAGGAAGCTACTTAAGAGTGCTCTCCCACTATATTTATCTGTACTAAGTAGTAAGCTGAATACCTAAAGCACTATTCCTTGTCTAACATGTGACACCAGCTCTTGTAGTCTTCTGGAGTAGCTTTACTTACTTTTAAATCTTTGTCTGCAAGCCTTTGGAACATGTTGGCATACATCTTTTTCTCTTTCTCATGCTGCTCCCGTATTTTTTGTTGACAAGTTACCAGTTGCACTTTGGCAGCTTTGTTACTTGGATAAAGTTGTATCACTTTCTGGAAATCTCCACGGGCCAATTCAAAGTCATTGACAGCCAAGTGCGCTTCTCCACGCCGGAAGAGGCCTTTTTCATTGTTGCTATCCAGTTCAAGTGCCTGCATTAAAAAGACAAACAAAACCACACTCAAGAATATATATATTTTTTTTAATTAAAGTAAGATGCAGTCAAAACACCGGAGGCTGCTAGAATTGTACCCCTTCTGAGGCAGATCTATGAGTCTTGTCAGGGCTTACTAATAAGGTGAGCTGGATACAGTAGAAGTACAAAAAGAGGACTGAATATTGTAGGCTATTTGACAAGAACCAGCGAGTCTAAGATTTAGTCCTAACTCTATTCCAGCTTTTTGACAGACCTTTGCCAACATGACTACCTTTATGATATCTCAAGTGTTCCTAATTTCTAAATACTTGGATATTCTCAACGTAGCAGTGATTTAGTAAAAGACATACAGGGGACAATAATTATGAAAACAACCTGTTGGGTATTTTAACATTGTGTATTTAGCACTACCCAACTGCCAGCTGATAAGAAAGAACAAACACCACATGACACAGTATCCCTCAAATCATTAAAGCAAGAGATAAACCGTCAGATTGCTTGTGCATCTTAAGAATAAATAAAGCTTTACTACCTTGTTGCAGTTCTCCAAAGCCTGGGAGTATTCTTTCAGCTTGAGATGGCACATAGCTAGATTAAGGTGGGCAGCAAGCCTCAAGCTTTTGGCTTTTGTATCCTCCTCATCGGAGAGTCCCGATTCATGCTCCAGCCATGACACAATCTTCTTATACTGTAATGCTGCCCGTTTGTATTTCCCCTCCTGTAAACAAGGCAGTTCAATTATCACATAGCTCACAGTAACTTTTCTCTCTCTTGCCCCTCCTGCTTACCTTGAGCAATAGATCTGAAAAAAACAATTCAATCATAAAATAACTTCTATCATCAAAAATACACTACTTCTGAAAGCCATTCCTGCATAGGATCAGCAAATCTTTAGGAATATGTACTGGTTTCCCCACTAAGGCTAGGGCTATAGGCCAGCATAGGTACTTCACTCTTAACTCCCACCTTGTGTTCAAACTTTTAATATAAAACAAGCCAGATGGACACTTTCAAAACAGCACAACTATTGCTCTGTCATGAAGATAATGGAAATTCTGCCTTAAGCTGGTCCAATTGTTTTAAACAGTTTGTCCACACATCCCTACCCAAATTAATGTTGTTCATTCACATGCACAGCAGGAACTGTAACCTTACTACTATTCAGTGTGTGCCCCACAGTTATCTGTAGGCACAGCAAACAGCTGACAGACAGAACTAACTCCATGTTGAGTTAGTTCTTTCGATATTCCAACTCTGAGGATTTCTTTAAGACACCCTCCCCTCCAGCCTGCTGTAAAAAAATAAATAAATAAAAAAAATCAGAGAATACCATGGCCACCACTCTGAAATGACAGCAGCTGCAATCATCATTATCAGCTCACGACATGGAATAAGAAATGCTATTATTATTTGGAGACTGTAATTTACCTTGAAGTACTGAGTGCCCCTCTCCTTCACAATGCAGCTTTGTTCCAGCTTCTCGTCTGTGTTCATTTCCCAAGACTCCTTAGCCTACGCAAACAGGAACAGTTCAAATCAGTGATACAATTCCTAGGGAAGCCAAGTGGCTATGCTGCTTCCCACTAACAGTATGGTAGAGCCAGGTCTGCAAAGCAGATTTTTGCACTACTGTAACTGGGCTAGAGCAGGAGAGACACTGACAGCAACAGACAGGGACAGTAAGAACAAGGACAATCTCCGCCAAGAGCTTGCAGCATGTCATCATCTCTGACAACAATGGCTTCCCTCTTTCAGATCAACGTTCAATGATTTCATCATCCTTTAAGCTGCACTCATACTTCTTCCCCCACCTCCCAATCTCTTTGGGACTTCATCTCTCATTCCTACCTTTTCAAAGCTTTTGAGTTTCACTTCATACTGTAGCTCTGCATCAGGAGGGATCTGGAATTTCTCCTTCCCAGCACTTCCAAAACCATAGCTATAAGGGGAAGAAAAGAAACAAGAATTCCAAAACTATCCAGCCAAACATATTTGCTACGTAGGAAACTGGAGGCAAAAACCCCATGAAAACCTGGGATGCCTACACAGCATTATTACAAGACAGAGGTTTGAAATCTGGGTACTATCCTAAAATAAGCAGGCACAGGGTAGAAGAAGCTGGAGAAACCTGGGGTTAATTTTTTTAATCTCTAGGCTACCAGTTCCTTTTTTTTTTTTTTTTTTTTTTTTTTTTTTTAAGTTTACGTGAAGGAAAAGCAAGTTATCTCTCCCCCAAAAAAAACCCCAAACCACCCCAAACTTTGAAGTTATACACATCCTGGTTTACATTCATGGTCTTAAATGGAACAGTTCTTTTAGAGCACCTGTATTTTAGTACTATTCTTAGAAAATCAAAGACGACGATATATACAGTGATTAAGTGAACAGCTGTACACAACATACCACCTATCAGCTGATAAATAGTAAATGCCTACAGAAAGTTTCTGTGCTGCAACTCCAGTAAGAAGCTGCATATGAGCAGGAAAACCCTCAAGATCAGATTGCTTTGCTTTTCTTCTCCCATCAGGTTCAGTTCCAAGTTTAAAAGGTTGAAAATAAAAAGGAAAATTAATTAAACCTGTATGGAAGCAATTAGTGAAAACTCCACTTGTTTCAAATGTGTTTGCACTGTAAAGAAAAAATTCTTATATCCAAGGCTGTTTAAGCTTACAATATTGTGCAGTCATAGATCTCAGTCAGCTGTTCCTAGTCTCAGGGAGTTCTCATCATGGTCAAAGGTTTGGATATAACTTTGCCTAAAAGACTTTGCCTAAGACGACTTTGAAGGTCTTTTTCCAAAAGGGTTTCAGAACACCAGTGAACATTTTCTACTGACAAAGGATTTTTGATACTCTTTACTAACTATATCACCTATGGACTAGCTATCTGGTCACACTGGACTGCTCAGAAGGCTCACATCAGCTCTTTTCCCATTCTGAGGCTGTTCTTCAAATATCTTTATATGCACTGCTGTACTGTAAGTACTGTTAAGAGGCACAAAAAAAAAAAGTAAGTTAGAGAGCAACAGTGTTTTTTTCAATATTCACCAAAACCAACACTATAGAGACTTAAGTAAATCTCTCTTGGGAGTGCTACTACTTCACAACCAAGTGGCATACATCAAATTTTCAGGGCTAATGAAGTTTTTACTACAGAACTGAAAAAAACCTGAAAGGGATTATAACAAAACACTTCATTCTTGTCAGATGCTTAGTATAAGCCCTTCAAGTATCAAAAGATCTGAAAGAGCCTACTTGGGTTTGAGATAGAACACAGACTCCTCCGATTTCTCCATTTTTTGAATTGCTTTCTCCAGACCATGAGGAAGATCATAGTTGTCACCTTCTCCAATCTCAAACCGCAATTCCCGCCTGTCAAAAACACGATCTCCATATCGTCCTTCAAACTGAACTGGTAACAAAAAACAGAACAACCCAGAGAAAAATCAGAAGATATCTATGTATGGTACAGGGCAAGTAGCACAGGCAACATAGGGAGACAAAGCCTCCTCCTTAGAACAGTCTTTTCTCTTTTAACAGTTACCTATGCATGGTGGCTACTGGCAGCAAATAAAACTGCTGCTGCTAAACTTAAAAAACCCTTTTTTGTTCATCTGTTGTTTGGTTTTTGTTGGTTTTTTTTCCACTCCAACAAGTGCCAGCACTACCTCCCCTCTTTTTCGTCATCAAATGGAAATACTTTATTACTCATCTACCTTTTGTGATCAGATAAGCACTTCATCAGATTCAGTATCTCTGTTACTGCTGGACAATGTAAACCTCTCCAGAAATAACAGGTTAAGTTACTTAGGAAGGGAAGGAGAAGACATGTATTCCCCTCTCTCAGGGCAAGGAGTTGTAGACTGGGGAAAAAGGTTCTGCCCTCCCACACGGTAAACCCATTTACTATTTGTGTAATGTACTTACTCTCCACAAGTGCACCCTCATTGGGCTTGGAGTAGCCTTCCCCCTTTTTACGGATTCTTCGGATAATGCCACCATCTTCATCATCAGTGAGGTCCTCCCCCTTGAACTCAAAAAGTTCTATCTGTGGAGGGAAGAAAAGCCTCGCATTTATTCTCATCACATCAATTCAGTTAACTCACAGAATTTGATCTCCAGAGAGAAATCTCTCTTGATCTCCAGATCTTTGAAAATACAGCGTTCAGGAAGCCACCATGTTAATGTCCTGTAAGATATTAGATAACCAAGGCTATGAAGGTGCTGTATTCGCTAGATACTGGATGGAAACCTATTGAAGAGCTTCAGATTATATTCAGGCCTTTACAGCTTTTTTGTCCAGCAATGTTGGTCTCCAATACTGCAAACTAAATCCTTTAGCTGAAAGGACTGTGAACCTGGCTTCTGAATAAAGTTTACATTGGCCACAATGCTTAAGGACTACTGCAAGAAAAGACTATTGACTTCTTTAATAGTATATTTGCTAAAGTCTGCAGGCAAAAGCATGGACAGTGGGTTTGGGGCTTGAGGTTTTGTTTACTGGGTTTGGTTGGGTTTTTTTTTTAAGGGAAAACACCTTTTGATTACATTAAGCCAGGAAGAATTTGCTCTCAGCTGCCACTTTGCAGTGCTACCACACTGATCAGCAGCTGTCACATCCTCTTACTCTACCGTCAAGGAGAATCACCAGTAGTGTCACTGCATCCAAGGGCTGGAGAGGTTTGTAAGCAATGCAAGTACAGAAGTAGCAGGAAAATTAATTATAAAAATACAATCCTTATCCTGATTGAATTTATCTGAATTTGATCACAGATGGAATGGACGGTATAAAGTGCTTGGAATGGAGTCCAAAGCTATTCCAAATGCTTGTCCTGCAATATTAAAACAAATTCTAGAATACATTTTCAGACTTTGGCTATTCCCCACCTGTTTCTTAATCCTCTTACTCTTGAGCCACAGGACAACAGTTTCAAAACTTCTGGGTCACTCTCCTTTCATGCCTGAACAGAGTTAGTGTTCTCTCTTTAATCTTGTTATGTTTTCCCCTCTAGTCTTGTCTTACTGTTTGTGTATTGTGGGATCATTTCAGAAAAAAAAATTATTTCCAGAAGAATGATACAACAACAAAAGCATGATCTGGCCCACCTTTAATCTAAAATCGTTGCTGCAACAAACTGTTTAGAATTTTTAAGCGCTGGTGTTAATGTAGGAGATAACTACCCAGTCTAAATCTTCGCCTGCCCTCTGAAGTCTCTAATGCAAATCATAGTTTGAAGTGGGAGTATCATGACAAGATGGAAAAATAGTCTAATAAAAAAAAAAAATTTGTTGTTGCTGCTATGAAATTAAGAAAAAACAAATTTTGCTATCCTATGTTTGAATAAAACAATAGTAAAAACAGCAGAAAAGAGCAAGCCATTATAATCATTGTTTGGACTAAGTACTTAATTTAAAAAAAAATTTTCAGGGCTAATGCTATGGATGTTCATGACACTGGACTTAAGATACCTGGAATGCAAAAGGAACGTACAACTAGTACTTCCACTTTGTATTTTGATGGATACCTAATAACAAATTATATCACAGCCTTTCTCTTCAGTCTGTCTGAAACAAGCTAAGTCACTCCAGAACATCCCACTGATGACCACGTAGGTTTCGCCATTTTTTATTATTATTGTTTTTTAACCTTAACAACAGTATTCTACGGAAGAATCTACCTACTCATATTGCTCAGCAAAAGCAATCATGAAAAAAAAAAAAAACCCACCAAAAACTCAAACCGTAAGACATTAATTATTTCAGGTCATAATGAAATGCTGATGTGGTAATGACCAAGCTACAAAATCTTTTAACATTTTAGAGGGTCTTTAGAGTCCTTAGTTTTAAAGGGTCCTTTTTAAGGTAATTCATACAAAATTTTGGTATGGCGATTGTACATACAAAGGAACTGTGCTGACATTGTTTCAAGTAATAAAATGAAACATAGGAGCAAGACTAAAGAAAGTGGAAACTTAAAGAGAGTTTATTTGTTGTAACCAGTCATCTGCAGGTCATTTTCTTAGGGAAGCACAAAACCATCATAGGTAGCTTCAGTGCTTTTCTTTCTCCCTTTCCTCCTATAACATTACTGCTCAGGCAGGCATCAGGGGATATAAAGGGTCATGAATGAAACTTTTATCTAAACAGTACCTAGAAGATGGAGAGGTCAGACTGGCATCATTAAGAAAAACCTAGTGGGAAGTGAATAATCTGAATGACTGTATCAGTAGTACTCTGATAAAACAAATTCCATCTTGTGGTTAGTGATTCCATTTATCAAAATTAGGTATTATCTCTTGTTGCAATAATGTAGCATCCTGCGTACTAGTGCTAAGCCCTTAAGAATGCTTTATTATGCTGCCGAGGTAGAAGGTCTTGAGCACACTGAGTCACTGCACATGGACACTAAAAAGCAGAGAAACTGAACTCTTCACTAACTGCTACACTGCAGTTCTGTTTGTTTTTCCTTTCCCTCAAGCAAAACGAAGCGAGTGGAAAAAGGTAGAGGGAAAAAAAAATTGTACATTTTGCATTTGAATCATCAGGTCAGAACACCATAAACACGTGTGTTTTCATCTCCCCCTTCAATCCTGCCCTATATTACACTTAGTATCACCTGCATTTGTGCAAAACACACAGCATTCCAGCATATGTAGTTTGATCAATATAAGCAAGTCATGAGTCTCTTCAAATTTATGTATTAAAAAGTGCTGTTTAAGAACAGTTTTAAAAGATTCTATTTTTCAACAGTCAACTGCAGAAATAATGGCATTAATTTTGATGTACTTGAAATGAGTAAGTTCTCGTCCCTTAGTGGCTTGGGATACTACCTCCTGGCAGTATTTTTGGAATCCTTCCGCACAAAATACATCTTTTATGGTATTACAAGTTCCTGGAAAAAAGAAATGCAAATACACTATCCAAATGTAATACAAATACAATATCCAACTATGTTTAATTTACTCTTCTTAACAGATGCTCATTGTTTCAATTAAAATCTAAATAGGCTTTCAGTCCCTACTCCCTGAGAGCTGTTTTTACCCGTCTCAGCATTATGAGTAACCATTCTCACTGTTGAAATAACACAAAAGAGACAGCTGCTATTTCCACTACCTTTTGGGAAGGAGAGAGGTGGGGAGATGCTTTAAAGATCACCAGGAAACAAATTCTGTCCTCTGCTGCTGAGGTTAAGAAATACCCATACTAATCAGCTCTATGCTCACCAAAAGACATGCGGTTCACCTCTGAGGAGACCAACTGTTCATGTGAATTGTAAAACTAGCGTTACCCAGACACCAAACTCAAGACTGATCAATCTGTCACAGGGACCAACTGCGTGCAAAAGACTTTCTATGATGGTAAGATTCATCAGTGTAGCCTGGATCCACAGACAGACTTTGGTAATCAACAAGCAACCTGAATCCAAACTGTTCCTGTAGTGCTTTAAGGCTTATTAAAATTCTCAGCTCTACAGAAAACAGAATTCATAGTTGCAGGGCTGTTCAAATACAGTTTATATGGGGTAATTATCCCTTTTCTCCTCAATAGCTTGTACTAGATTGTGTTAACGCTGCAAAGAAAACAAAAAAGTATGAAATATATATTACTGAGGACATTAACTGCTTTTTCTGTTGCTGAAAACTTCATAATGTTTAACATCAGTATCATCACTTTTAGCCTATGAAGTGGAAAGAGGATTAAAGATTTTTTTTCAGCTGCTTCAGAGTCTGCCACTGAGACAGTCTACCCTCCCAACCTGCACTCTCCTACAGTGAATCATTCCCTAACTAAAAGTATGAACACTGGCAAAACGTTCAAGTGTTTTAAAAATGCCAAAATAAGGGAACCTGAGCCACTGCAGATCAGTAGCAGTCAGACTAGAACATTATGCTTTGCCGACACTACCCTAATTGACCATATTTTTCCTCTTTAGAAAAACCTAACATTCCTGTTTTGGAAGGCTATTACATCAGACATATGATTTTTGTTTATTTTTCCAGGGCACCGTTTTAGTGACCGTCTCTCACTTACCTCAAAAATCAGCGTAGCATTGGGAGGTATCTTTGGGGGACTTCCAGCTGAGCCATAGGCATATTCTGGTTTACATGTAATCCGACAGATTTCACCAACCTTCATGGTCGCCACAGCAATGTCCCATGCTTTGATCACCTCACCTATGCAAGTCAAATTTCAATCACATGATTGTGAGGCATACGTGAAAGGCATGACTGGCTGTGAAACCGAGCATCGTCACTTTTAGCATACAAAAGCTGAGATGGAACAGAAATACTAGAAGACTTGTGCTCACTCTTGAGTTCTGTACATCAGTTTTAATCCTAATTAAATTATAAAGTTACTTGAGGACCCAAATTTAGCTGAATTCCTTCATTCTAGGTGTAGTGGTTCTTCTCCTCCCCTTACTTTCTCACCTACAGAGAATACAAGTCACCTGAACACAGACACGGGCTGAAGTGCACAATCTCAAGTGCGAGGAAATAACAATAAACTATTTGAAGAGGAAGGTCTTAGGGTGAGAGATTGCAGGCTCATATTTTGAAAACAATCCAGAACAACAGCCTTTTCTCTCTGTACTTTTATCAGTTGGCAAAGACCAGCAGGAGTGGTAACTAGAAGTTACATGCACTTGTAACAGAAAGTGGGAGTAAAGCAGTAGTAGTATTCCTTCTAAAGCCAAAACTTAAGTGGGAACCTCAAGTAACAAAATCCTATCTCCTACTTCAAGCTCTCCTACTTGCTGCTCCTTTCAACACACTCAAGCAGCCTTTTTTGTATTAATACGTACACTTCATATCATCTCAAATTTCAGTACACTGCAGAATTTATCTCCCAAATTAAAAAAAGCAGCAGGTAAGAAACTGTCAGGGAAAGCTCAGATTGAGTATTAAGATTCACTGGAACAAGGATGTTTGGATTCATGCATTCAAAAAATGACGGTTTTTGATAACAAAGGGATGCACTACTTCAAGATTCGTATTTGGGTTAATTTGGGAACTTAAGGAAAAAGGGAGTAAAGTTTCATCAGGCTGCAGCAGACAGCTGTGCCCATGCACCCTGTCCCAGTATCTGGTCACAATTAAGTACTCCTGAATTTGAGTCTGAAAAAAAAAAAAATTCAACAAAATGTTCATTCTGGCTATTTAACTATCCTTTATTACTATGCTTCAGGGCAAACTGGCACCCTGGAGTGCTTTGTCTGAGGCCTGTGAATTCTTCAGCAGGCCTCATTCAAGAGGCTACAGAGTCTTCTCATTCACAAGAATATCAAAGCCATTCTGGTTCTGACTGGGCCGTTCTACAGGAACAAACCTTAAGCTCCAAACCCAAGTTAAAATAGCAACTTTAACATGCAAAGGAGCCACACAGCAAGGAAATTCCATCTCAATTATTACCAAAAATTATCAATACCAAACACAAGATATTACCTTTCCCCAAGTCAAATGAAAATTTGTCTCTCCTGTCCAGACTGGAGTCAAATTTAGTGCCATCGAGAAGCCATCCTGTGTAATGGACGGTCACTTTATCCCCTATCATCGGAGACTCCGTCCCACTGCCTTCTCTCTTGACAACCTGAGAAAAACAGTAAGCAACATTAAGATGATGAAAACGAAGTCTGCCTATTGGACATTAACTCCATTTACTTAGATGCATGCATTATCATCTTCAGTAGATAGAGGATTTGCAGGTTTACTTCAGTTATCTGGAAATGAACTGACTGTTTTGTCTACAGATTAGCAGTGTTGCAAACGCAGGAACCTCAAGATGGCTCTGCTGTGATACAAGAACTTAACTGGCAACAGTTGGCACCAGCTGACAAATCTCTGCATCTATAGTTAGCAATGTCACTTCCCTTTCCCTCAACAAGATTTTAAATGTTCTTGAAACTTCATCAGGTAAAGCATTAGGCAGGGCTTTCTTTGCTTTAATGAAGTAGTTTCCTCACAGCCACTCTATCATTACCCCCAAGTTCAGTGTTTAAGGCAAAGCATTTAAACAAGATAACAAGCTGGTTCCTTCTATGCCAGGTGTATTCTAACATGCATTCTGAGACTACTCGAGTTAAACCACAGTTTAACAAAGGTTAACAGAATCTCACCCCGATGCAGGTTAGTTCTAGCAGCCAACACAGTAACACATAGGAATTATTATATTGTATTAATTTTATCTCCCCACAACTGATAGATTGCCAGCACCCTGATTTCACATACAGCTGCAAGGATTTGATTTTCTTCTCAAGAGGTTCCCCAGCCTAGCTAGCAACACTAGTATCAACTAAATCTACACTACACAAAAAGAAATATCAGCCAATTTCTCTGAAAAAACTCATCTGAAACGTATATAAAAATAGAGAATACTGACATATCTCATAGGGCAACAACATGAAGCCCTGCCCATAACAGGATTCCAAAGATCAAATTTGAGTTGTTTCCAGTACTGATTGGAGTATCTAGCTCCAAGCCAAAGCTCTGCATTGTTTTAGCTATGCAAAAGGGAACCAAACGGAGGACCCTATTTGCTTGCATCTATAGAGATGTGGAAAACGTAGTGGAACACTTATTCAAGGGCAGTTACATAGAAGTATGGATTGGTGCTCCTCCTTTAACAAAAAGCTATAAAAATGTCATGCTTCTATACCAATCATGTTTTTCATTGAAGGAAGCAGACCTTTGCAAGTCTCCTTCTCAAATTTTAACTTCTTGCAACCAACCACTGTCAATCTCCCACTTGGCCTCCCACCATCCCTGCAGCTAACTATACCACTGAAATGGCAGCACCCTCCACTCAAAGCTGAGGCAATACGGACAGCCTCTGTCAGACTCTTAACAAGCTGAAAGCACCTCACTTGGATGCATAAAAGAGGGGAGGAAAAAAAAGAAAAAAATATACTACCTGCTCAGTTTCCTAGGGAGAGAATGCAGAGTGTGAAAAGGGATGCCTGACGTCACACAGCACACCATCCCCTTACCCTGCACCACCTCAGTGCTACAGCAGTCATTAGCATTACAGAACTAATCTATTGATTTCTCCCCCAAGGAAAGCAAAAATTCAAGCAACCATTCTCACAGAGATCAGGGAATGGAGATATATGAAAATAATGTGAATTTGGTAATCAACCTAAACTACTTCATGCTTAAGATATATCTATGTAAAAAAACAAAAAAAGTGGATCCAAACTAGAAATTTTAAAGCAGCTAATCTGAAGTCACTTTGAAAAAAATAACTGCGTTTAATGGAAATTTACTAAGCTTTTCCAAATGCCATATTCTTGTAGTGTCATACCAAGTTATCCAACATGAAAATAATTACTATCTCATTTTCAGTATTTATACAATATTATTATTTTGCATTTAAGACACTCGAGTTTCACTTTTTTCATATACTCAGTATGGCAACCCCATATTCCATAAGGTTTACATTTCCCTTTCAGATGGAGAAACCTGATTTTTCTGTTCATAGTGACTGCAAACATTTCTATTTCTAAACTTAAATACTTACACTAGAAATAATGCAAGCACATTCAGCAATACCAGGTAAAAACCTCTGGATACTATTCTGATATAAAGCTAATGAACAAATAAGAAACTGCCTGGGATCAGTGCAATGATGCCAGTACAAAATTGGTGTAGGTTAGTTCAGACTTAGACCCTTGATTTCAATGGGTGTATTCTGCACTGTGGCAATTACTAGAAAAATAAAATTCATGAAGGCTGGACTTTATGATCTTTACAGTCTTTTGCCTTAAGAATTCACAATCTCACCCTTTTTGAAATTTTCACAATGTCAGTTCTTTTGCCAGTATTTTCTCCCCTGCCTTTAAAAAAAAATAGGAAAAAAACCAAACAAAACCAAAAACCACCTACTGCTTCTCCCACCATCACAAGATGGGCACGGCATGGAGTAGGCAGACGCTCTCTGCCTTTTACCATGCTCAGGGATCTGATGCAGGAGACTGCAGGCAGCTTCCATGCGGATGAGAACCCTGACCTGATACTGTGCTATGTGCAAAAAAATAAAAATAATAAACTCTCGCCAAAGCACGGTAGCAGGAAATATTGGGAAAGCAAGAGTATCAACCAACCCCACATCTTTGATCTGGTCCCCGATACCCCTCCTGAACTGGAGACATTGCCTCTATGACAAACCCAGAAGGCTCTAAAGGTTAAAAGCAAACTCAGAAAGCTCTAAAGGTTAAAACCAGAATTTTGTCTTTGCTGCCGTGCCGCTTTTCTTCTTCCACGCACCGTAACTCTGACATTTCACTGTGATTAAAAAACCGCATCCAGTGACTGTTAAACCTTTTAAGAGAGACTAAAGAAGTTTCTAGAGATGTGGAAATAGGAAATATCTGACAGAGGAAGTCAGCGCAACTCCCCCTCACGGTATAAATTCTGCTCCCCTTATCAGCCCCCTTCCCAGCACGAGGAAAGGAGCCAGCCCGCCGGCACCCCCCTCGGCACGGCCCGCGGGTGCAGCCCCCCC